CTTTTCTTTTCGGGACTTATTTGGAGAAAGCGCCGGGAGGCACCGCCTCCTCATCCTCCTCCTCCCTCCCTGCCCCAGGCTCCTGCCGGGCGCTCCTGCCCGGCCCCGCCGCGGGCGCCCGCGTTGCACCGCACGTACGTCCGAGGCCTTCTTCTCAGTCAGCTCCAGCTTCTCCTGCGCGTCTTTCAGGTTCTCCGAGTACTTGTCCAGCTCGTCCTCCGTCCCCTTCAGTTTCTTCTGGAGGTGCGTCAGCTCCTCCTCCACCTGGGGGACGGGGGTAGGGGAGGTCACATCAGTTTGGGGGCTACGTCCCTGTGGCGCAGGGGAGTCTCCCGCATTCACAGCAGTCCTGTCCCCGCCTCTTTCCTCATCTGTAAAACAGGGATCACAAGACTATGCACCACTCGGTAAATGCTACCTGTTAATACGATTTTCACATCCTTCCCTTGTCCTGGGGCCAGCTGTGCTCATCTTTTTGAGGGTCCCCCAATACTCTTGGGGAATCCAGTGCAGCTTTGGGGAAACTTGAGTCCTGACACGTTTCCCAGAAACGCATTCAGTTTTGCGTCCCAATTTCCAGGGAATGCAGCTTCCCGGTGATCTGGGTTAAATCGAACGGGGGAGTCTCATACTCTAGGCCTGGACCATCCCCCTACTCCCAGTCGAACTCCCTTCTAGTTCTGCCTCCCACACTAGCAGCCAGAGAACCTTTCTAAATGTGTTTGTCCTCTCCCTGCTCGGAACCTGGCATGGCTCCGCATTGCCCGAGAGAATGGTCCTCAGACTGTCTCACGAAAATAGCCTGAAGGGTTGAAGGGCGCAGACCCCTCTACTCCTGAACTTTGGGGGCTTGGCTGAGAGAGAGCTACTCCTCAAAGAGCACTTTCTTCTGCGGCTCAGGTTCTTACACGTCTTCCTTTCAGTTCTTACACGTCTGGCTTGTGTTCATTTTAATAAAAAAATCCCCTATGTTTCCCAAATTTTGAGTCATCTTTGTTTATTCTGAGAGTCTTGCCTCTCTCCCAGTGCCTTCAGTTGAAAAACTCAGGTCAGTGGGATACAAACCACACACCCTTTCACTTCTCCATCTCTTCACCTCGCACCCCCCAACGTCAGTCAAAGGTCAGCTCAGGAAGCCTTCTCTGCCACCCCCAGGTTGCACCTCCCTCCCCTGCCCCTAATTCTGGGCTAGTGTGTTCAGTCCAACTCATGTTTTGGTCTGACTTTATGTGTTTGGTGGTTGGACCCCTGAACCTGTCCGTGCTCCCAGGGTGGGCAGGCAGCCCCACTGGGCCCCACTTCATACTCCTGCTTCCTCTTCACAGCAGGAAGCTCAGAGAGATAGAGTGACTTTTCCCAGGTCACGCAGCACAGTATTTGAACCCATTTCTAAAGTGGCCCTTATGCCAGGCCTGCTTTCCTGCATCCCTCCCTGACTTCCTTCTCTTCCTTCCTGAAGAGGGTACGTCGTAAAAGCTGCTGTGCCTGCGGCTTCTAGATCAAGCTCAGAATCTTTTCAAGTTACATGCTCACCCCTGAGATGATGTGTGTGAGTGTGTGTGTGTGTGTATGTGTGCATGTGCAAATTCTTAAGTGTATGTGTGTGTATGTGTGCATGTGCAAATTCTTAAAAGGCCCCTTGTCCCAAAGTGACAGCACTTAAAGCCCCAATTCCAGGGCCTCCGAGTGTCCTACAGTGAGCTGGGGAACGGGAATGGGATTGGGGATCGGAGAGGGGGATGGTGGCAGCAGCTCAGCCCTAAATCAGGGTCTCTATGGCCTGACCTTGAGCTCCAGGCAAGGAGCCTGGAAGCCTGACTCCAAACTCCAGCTGTATGATCCCTGTTCCCTTTTCTAGCCTCAGTTTCCTCTTCTGCAAAATGGAAACCTTGACATAGTGGTTTCTGAGCGCCCCATCTGGGTACATACAAAGATGATTGGTATTTTGACAACGTTTTTGGGCAACGTTTAGACAATGGTGGGGGGCGGGGCGGAGGGGAACTGGGATAAAGCGGGCAGGAGACTATGAAGTATTTAGAATGTGCCAGGCCCATTACTGAAGGCCCACATTACAGAAGGGTAACCTGAGACCCCAAATGAGGAAGGGACTTGCCCCAGGCCATGCCAATAAGGGATTTGAACTCTTGTCAGACTGACTCCCAGCTGATTTGCTTGACCTGCTAGGTATGTCCACTGCCCAGCAGGCCATCTTCCCACTGACCTTCCACTCCCAGCACCAATGCCCCATCCCCTGGGCAGTTTGCCCTGCTGGCCTAGGCAGAGCTCTTGCCACTCCCTTGGACTCCCCAGCCCCTGTCCCTCCCTCGCCTAGCCCTGACCCCTGAGGCAGAGGGTGGCCTTTCGTGTTTAGCTTTGTCTCCCTTAGCCTGGGGCTCCTTGGGGGTCAGGCCTGGGGCTAAGGTCGCTCTGGGCCCCAGCATTGCTCAGCATGGGACAAGGCATGACGCTCACCAAAGAACCCTGGGGGAAGTTCTCAGAACGAATCACTGACTCAGTCCCAAACCCTTCGGTGGTTGGAGCCCATATGAAGAATAAGACTGACACAGATTGGTTCCTTTCCCTCTGAATTCCACACACAAAGCATGTGCTGGTGTGTGACACCTTGCTGGGTGGGCAGAGCCTTGCCCTGGCTCTCGGAGGTCTCAAACAAGTCACTTTCTTCTCTGGGCATCAGTTTCCCTGCCTTTAAAACAGCTGGGAGGGTCATGGACTGCACACCCTGGCAGTCCAATGGGGGCTTCGGGCAGGGCAGAGGCAGGATGTGTGGTCAAAGGCCAGTTGTGACGGATGTCACTGCCCTGGGAGAGGAGTGGGCAGGAAGCAGGAGAGGTGTGTCTCTCGGTCACATTTCCACACTGGACAGATGGAGCCTAGAAATGGGACTTTGCTGCAGGGTCCCTGAGAGTCAGGCTGGTCCCAAGATCCATGCTTGGCCTCCTCTGAAGCATAAGGCACTCTGGGTAAGTTGAGTCCCTCCTTGCCTCCTGCCTCTGTTCCCAGGCAGGACTGGCCATTGGCCCCATGGGACTCTGGCTTTTGGTTGGGACTTCTAGGGTCTTGGGTTCCCTGCCTGGCCATTGGAAGACATTGTTTGCCCCATTTCTCAGATGAGAACACTGAGGGCTCAGAGAGAGGCAGCAATGCTCCCTAAGTCACAAACCTAGAAGACAATCCAGCCTGGATTTGAGCACAAGTCCACCCCAATGGGAGGCTTTGTGGGAAAAAAAGAACAGAATGAAAATTGAGCTGAAAGCCAGATAACCTGTCCCTACTTCCTTGGCCACACAGTTGGCTGGAGGCTTTGAGGAACCTTCCCTTTTGAACTTGTGTCTGCCTTGGTAGAGTATGCTGTGTCAGTTGCTCACATCTTAGGGAAAATGAGAGCCATTGAGTTACTTTTCTCTGAATCCCTAGCTAAGCCACTCATGGTGAGGGCTGAATGATGGATGGAAGCAGGCAGCTCAGGGCCAGCACAGGATGGGCGTCTGTGTTTGCCAGGGAGGGGCAAAGGGAGGGAGAGGGACATTTGTGCTAGGGAGCATTGGGGTGGAGCTGACTGACCTGTGTGGATGTGTCACAGATACTTCGGGCAGCCCTAGGACACTGGGGGATAGAAAACCGAAGGGGAAGTAGGGCGGGGCAGGAAACAACTCGCATTTATTGAGTGCTTACTCTGTGCTAGGTGTGGGGACAAGGGCTCCACCTGCACAGTCACCTCTAATCCTCTCACAGCGGCGAGGGAGTCACCACTGTCACTTCCCCATTTCATACATGAGGCCACCAAGGCACAGAGAGGTGAAGGCATTTGCTCCAGGGTGCTCAGCTGTGAATGGGGCCAGTCTGAGCTCAGAGCTTGCGCTTTTAGCTACCAAGCTGGCCTGGTGCCCAGGCTAGGCAGGGGTGGGCACTTGGTATCACTGTCCTGGGTGGCTCCTGGGGCTTATTCGAGACCCTGATGCTCCTGAGGGCCTAGCAGTTGACCTGGGAGTGCAGATGAACCCTGTGAGGGGCAGGATCCCCTTCACTCTTCCCACTGGCTTCTCTGGCCACTCGGACCCAGACAACTGACTTCTGCTCTGCCCTAAGCCATGGCCTTGAGACTGCCAGCCCAGACTTCTGCCACTGCCCCTCCATTAGCTCCCTGATGTACTCTTATTGCCAGAGCATCCTGGGACTCTTGTCCCCAAAACTCTGGGTCCAGAGCCTCTGTCTGCCACAGGCAGCCCTGCCTTGCCCTACCAGGTTCAGAGCAGAGATGGCAGGGGCACCTCAGATGGGCAGAGCCTCATCTAGATTATCAACTCCTCACCCACCCTAATCTCCAGACCCTCAGCCAGTTGCCCCTGCAGCCAGTCACAGCTGGCTCCACTCTCACACTTGGCCACCCTACCAGGGCAGTCACCCATGTGGACCCACAAGCTCACAGTCACATGGGCACGGGGTACCCCCCCACACATAGAGCTCTGTACTGCCACCCTCTCCTCAACAGGCACACACACACACCCCAACAGAAATAGTCACCCCAACAAGGGCACACAGGCCAACACCGACACCTTGACACACACACTCGCCCTGACACTTGCATGACATTAGTCATGCCAAGTTTTGCACAAGCATACGCACAGCCAGCCTCTCCCTGATACACACAACCCAACGCTGACATCACCATCCATACATGGACTCGCAAACACATCCACACTTTTTCACAGCCACTTTTCAAAAGCCACACTCGTACCTCTCTCTAGACACACTCATTCTCACAGTCACCATCATTCCTCTACGCTCTTTCTGGCCGAAACGCAGACACAAATGAACACACAGAAATGCTCAAACGCATACAAATCCACTTAAACATGCACACACAGTATCCTCCAACCACCCCATGCAGTGCACACACCCGCACTGATACACTCACCCCAACACACCTACACATTCACATTTGCACATACACACCCAGCACACACAAACGCCCTTTTTCTCTGTCACTCACTTGACTCCCGCTGACCCTGTTGGGTGGGTCCTGTCACCCCTTTCTCCCAGCCCAGGGACCCTCCAGGTAAGACAATGGTCCCTTACTCCTTTTCTGCCAGAGCATCACCCTCTGTCTCCTTCCCAACCCCAAGGTACCAAGGTTTCTGAGGACGCCCCCACCCTCAGCCTGGAACCTCGCCAGCTCAGAGGGGCCACTGGGCAGCCCCACATGGCCCAGAGCTGGCCTCTCACCTGCTTGCACTTCTCCTCAGCAGCTTTCTTATCTGACTCCGCCTGCTCTGCCCGGTCGATGGCGTTCTCCTTGTCCAGCTTCAGCATTTGCATCTTCTTCTTGATGGCCTCCATGGCTGGGCTGAGAGGGGCGCGGGTGGCGGGGTCTGTGGCAGGGTCTGTGGCAGAGTCTGTGGCGGGGTCTGAGGCTTTTGCCGAGTGAGCAGCAGGGCGGAGTGGAAGCCCTTATAGCCTCCCCAGGGTGTGCCGCCCTGCTTGGGCAAGTCTTGGAGGAGGCCCAAGCCCAGGCTAGCCGGGCCAGCCGCCACTCGCTCGCTCAGGAGGACTTGGCCAGCTCACCGGCTGCCCCGCAGCCCGCACCTTATTTGGGCCTGAGATTTTCTCAAAGGAAAAAAAAAATGGTCCAACTTGTTTCCATTTTTAACCTGGTGACACAGGTCCCGTGTGAGCATGCGGGCACAGCACCGGCCCAGAAGGACCCCCTGTGGACTGCTGGCTGGCCTCAATTTTCCCATCTGTGGTTGGAGGGACTGAAGAGGGCGTATGGGTGGGCTGGGGAGACTCTCGTCCTCCCTTCTCCTTCCCTCTGGGTCCTGCCACCAGGAATTGGGAGTCAGGCCCCCATTCCATCCCCTGCTCCCACCCTAGAGGTCTCTTTCTGGAGCGTCTCTGTCTCATCATCTTCTCCCTCTGTTTCTGTTTTGGTAACTGTCCGTGTCTCTCCATCTCTTTGTCTCTGTGTCTCTATCTTTCAGTCTCTTTTCTCTCCGCATCTCTTTTTTGTCTCTATGTCTCTCACCATATCTTGTTTTAATCTATGTCTCACTCCATCTCTCTGTCTCCCTTTATCTCTCTTTTTGTCTCTGTGCCTCCATGTCTCTGTGTCTATCCCCATTTCCCTCTGTCCGTCTCCCCATCTCTTTTTCTCTCTAATTTTCTCTGTATCTCTTTGTTTCTCTCCCTTTCTAGCTCTTCAGGTTCCCCTCTCCCTCTCTCTCTGTCTCCTTTATGTCTCCCTCTCTCTCCATCATCTCCCCCACCTCCTGTGCATCCAGCTCACCAAGTGAGATTGACCTAGGCTTTTTTTCTCTCAGCAACTCTCAGAGGCCAAGGCAGATGCTTTCCCTCCCCGGCTCAGAGTCCAGCTGAGGCTCCCCAGCATCCTCAGCAACAGGAGGCCTTTGCCCCTCAGCCTCTCACTCAGGCCTCCTGCCCATCCCAACCCCCACTCCCAGCTCTCCCCAACTTGGAGCTCAGAGCTCCTCCCACAGCTTCCCAGGCAGAGCTGCCATTTCCCACCACCTGCCCTTTGCACCTTCAGTCTCTTCTGCCCGTTGTGACTTCCCTCTCTCCTCCAGAAACTGGGGCAGGATTCACTGCCTTTAGAAAGGTTTATTCACTCATTCATTGACTAACACAGAGTGCCTCTCATGTGCTGAGCCCTAGCAGCACATGCTCAGAATGTGGGACCTATTACTCTTATTATTATTGTTTGATCATCATTTTCAAACAATATGAGCTGCTTTGAGGCAGGCCTGTGCCTTGGTCTTCTCCGTGGGCCCCTGAGTGCCTGGCCCCCACAAGATCAGAAAATCCTTGTTGATTAAAATGAACGATCTCTCCTTCTCTCTCTCTCTCTCTGTCTGTCTGTCTGTCTGTCTGTCTGTCTCTCTCGCATACATACTTCTTTAACTAGGAAACTTCTACTTATCTTTTGAAGCTCAGATCAAAAGTCTCCTCCTCCAGGAAGCCCTCCTGAACAGAGCCCTGGATCCCCAGCCCAGCATCAAGACTTCTATGTGGGATAGAGTGGAGGTAGTGAGGCTTCCGTATTTCCTGCCCAAGGCTGCGGAGGGAGCGGAATAAAGACAGAGGGCAGTGGGCATTGCCACTGGGGAGCTAGGGGGTCAGGCCAAGATTCAGAGTTTTCAGCTTCCCTCTGCCCCATCCTGATTCTTTCACTGCCCCTTAAGCTAGCTTCCTTCTCTTTGGATGACAACTCCCCCACCCAAAGTCATGGGGTCCAAAAGAGTAGCAAACAGAACATTCTGGAACCTTGCTCATACTCTGAGGACATTGGTTTCTCTCTGTGTTAAAGAGCTGAGGAGGCCCAGACCAGACCCCTCCCCAACTCCGTTCTCCATCCCCCTCCCCATATCCTGGCTGTGCAGAGTACAGAGGTGGATAATGGAACACTGTTCGTGGAGTGTCCACCATGTGCCGGATGCTATTCTGAGCACTCAGCTTGCAGCATCTCACTTCAGCCTCCCTGAACCCCAAGAGGCAGGGGACTGTTTTTATTCTCATTTTATAGAGGAGGAAGCTGAGGTCTGGAGTGGCCCACCCAGGGTTATTCAGCTTGTGAGTGGCAAAGATGGAACCAGACTCAGCTGACTTTAAAACAGAGCTGGAGGAGAGGTCCTAAGACATTCCACCCCCACCCCTTCCATGTCCCCACCTCCACATACCTCCCTCACATCATTCCCTGCCTCAGGCTGAGTCATCAGGGGTCAGCTCCCTCCACCCCTGCTGCCCCCTGGAGACCCTGAGCCCCGCCGCACCACAGGTGGTGTGGCTAATTCCAGGCCTGACACCACCAGCTCCGAACAGGATCCCTCCCCCAGGAGCTGCCCGCTTGCTCCATGGCCTTGTAGGGCAGACTCTTGTCCCTGGACCTGCCTCTTGCTCAGGGAGCTCCTGGAGGCAGAATCCTATGCTTGGGAGGGGAGAGGGGAGCTGGTAATGGCATTAGAGCCCAGCTGTGCCACCCCCACTCCTGCCCTGTAGTCTTGGGACTGAAGTTATGTTCTCTCTGTGTACCTGCCTCAGGGACATTCCCAGGAGTCCTGGCCAGGCCTGAAAGGTCATCTGGGGTTCCTGGCCCTTGGGAGCCCTGGCCTACCTGTCCAGGATGTGTGGCCTGGTACATCAGGCAGGTGGAGGTTGCCATTTACAGCTGGGAAAGAGGAAGCCCCCTCCTGCCCAGTAACTCTCCAGCCAGGGGCTTTTCTGGACCAAGTCGGGTAGAGCTACTTGTTACCATCTTGGCCACTTCACAGCCAGGAGACTCGGGGTCATTTACTGAAAATCTATTACCATGCCAGGCACTGTGTCAGCGGCTTTGGAGACACTAGGGTGGACATGACTCTCAGGCTAGTAGGGCGAGATGCCCAATACTTGCAAACAATTACAGAATACAATAGGATAGAGCAAACTGCTGTCTGAGGTCGGGCTTCCCCAGAAGCAGCAACTGAGACAAGAATTGGGGGGCAAGTAATTTATTTGAGAGGTAACCCAAGGAGACACAGGTAGGGGCTGGGAAGCGAGGCAGAGGAAGGAAGGAGGCCAGTTAACAGCAATGATGAAGCCAGTTACTACCCTGAACAACTGAGGTGCAGTCCCGCCGAGGACCTCTGGGAGGCAGCAGAGAGCACATTCTTCAGATTCGTCAGAACTGAGGGGCGTGAGAGCTGGGGTATTTATCCACCAATCCCCATCCTTTTTTCTTGAAGGCTGCTCCCTGGTTAGGCGGGGTTGGGGGGTTATTAATTCCCTAGCACTTCTGGCCTGCCTTTGCTTGGGCTAAGCCTCAACAGCTGGAGAAAGACCCCCCACCCCCACCCCAAGACGTGCAGTTGCTGAAAGAAGGAATCCTTGGGTGGGAGTTGGGTGGGTGAGGAATAGTGGGAGCTGAAGGGACTGGGCAGCACCAAGAGTGTCGAATAAAATGTTAATGGGATATATAGCACTGGTCCTGATGAGCTTTGGGTGGAAGTCAGGGAAGGCTTCACTGAGGAGGTGGCAATTGAGGGGACTTTGAAAAAGGGCTAAAAGGTGTGAAGGGGGTGGTGGAGATGGGTTTTACATATGCGAAGACCACAGGTGAGAGGGATTGAGTGTGCCTTGGGCGAGGCCACGCAACAGCGGAGAATATGGGGGTGCCCCTGCTCCTCTGCCCCCCACCCCCGCAACATTTCTCCTGGAATTTGAGACATGCAGAGGGGTGGTGGAGCCAGAGTGAATTTACTGGAGAAAACCAGCAAAAATGTTCTCAGCTTGCACCCTATGAAGTCTTGCTCACTGAATGATAATATGACGATGATGATCAAAATGGTACTAGCTAAGGATGATCAGACTGTGGGCTGAGCAGGTCATGTGTGGACACGGGGGGATGGGGGATTCACTCTTCCTTCACCCAGAATCTTGTGCAGTAAGAACTTGGAGGCCTCTAGCCAGGAAGTTGCTTGCCTAGGTCACACAGCCGGCACGTGGCAAAGGCAGAATTTGAACCTGAGTCCCTTTGATTCACTGGGACCTGAAACCGCCACTGCTCTAGGCCTGCAGCCCCGTTTATTAAGTCAGTGTTGGGAAGACGGAGCAAAGGGCCTTGATGTCCTCCCGGATTTCTCTGAGGCAGACTCCAAGGGAACTGTGTGGGTTACACGGCTTGCGCACAAATGTGGAAAAACAGGCATGACCACAAGCTTTGTGGCATCATCATGATAATTAATAATAATTATAGCTAACACTGACATGGCTCTCACTCTGCCCATGCTGTTCTAAGTGCCTTGTACATATATAAACTCATATATTAATTTTCACAGTAATCTTATGAGATAGGGGCTATCGTTATTCTCATTTTACAGCAGGAGAAACTGGAGCACAGAGAGGTCAAGTAACTTGCTGAAGGTTGCACAGTTAAAAAGTGGCAGAATCAGGACTTGAACCCAGCCTATCTGGCTTCACAGACTACACATTGAACCACTACACTATATCCTGAACAGCCTCATATTTGTGACTTCCAGCCCAAATTATTCTCACGGATGACAGTCATGGCCCGCTGGGTGTCAGAGCTACCACTATTGGGAGATGATTCTCCCTTGGTTTCTGATATTTTCGTATCACTCACAAGCAGAGACATGGATAGCTTTTCTTCCAGCTACCTCTTCAAGGATGTTTGTGTAGCAAACAGCCTTGAAAGGTAGAAAGAGTTTCTTCCTGAGGGCAGGTTTGTTTGCTGTCTATAAAATAAAGATTAATGTCTCCTCTGAGAAAAAGGGAGAGTGGGATAGTTTGCAGTCCACTTGAAAAGACTGGAGTTTCTAAGCTCAGAGTTCCTCAGCTGTGAT